GTTTATTGCTTAATTCTATATAGAGTAGTATGTGGCGCCTGCAACTTCTTAGTTTTCTTGAGTTCTGTTACATTTTAACTTCCTTTTAATTTTCTCAACAAACCTCCTTTCATGTTCTTAATACGGTGGAACATTCTGCATAACTCATGCCATGTTGAACTCCAATTCGTCTTTAAATCTACAATGCATCAAATTTATCAATAATTCCTTGACTTTGTGAAGTAAAACAAGAAGCCCATTACTTTAAATTAAGTGGCACAGGTTTATGCTGGGTAGTGTCAAAATAATTTTGACTTCCCTAAGACAGAATAGCTCATCATTTGTTTTGTTTTAAGACAGAATATCTCATCATTTGTTTTATGAAATAATAAGTTTAGTGGATCGCACTCCGAGATCAATGTTTTTTACCTTAGAAAGTAAAAATAAAGGTAGCATCAACTCGAAAGAAAGGGCGTAGTGGAATAATAGAATTAAAAATCTTGCTCTCTGGAACATTACCATTTTCAAAAAAAAATAATTTAAAAATCTTGCTCTGTGGAACTAAAATAATAGTCAAACATCTATTTGTATCCATTTGAATTAGATGATGAGTATCATGTCTGCAAATCAACAAGATAAAAATAATTTGTTCTTTGTTTCATTGTTTTATTTTCTCAATCAGTCCCCTATCATCTCTTCTTAAAACCAATGGAAGTTATGCTCGGGTTTCCAATATTCATATGGTTCTTGCAGTTTTGCCCATTTCTTGAAATGCTCATGGGGGGACAAAAACTACTTGCCCTTGTTTTGGTTTTGATGAATATTCTATATAAAGTTTAGTTTAAGTTTTTCTTTTCCCCTAAGTTGCAATTTTCTGCTGATATTAGGTGAAGGATAGCTTAAGAAGTGATCCTCGTTATAAGTCTGTTAAGCATGAAGACAGAGAGACTTTATTCAATGAGTATCTATCGGAACTGAAGGCTGCTGAACAGGAAGTTGCACGAATTGCAAAAGCAAAACATGATGAAGAGGTGAGTTCTTTTCCAACGAATACAACATTGCCATTCTACAAAAAAAGCTCTTCTTTTCCAATTTTTGTCACCTTGGTTTTCTTTGTTTATGCATTTCTTCTTTCGACTTGCCTTTTGTTATATTATTGTATGAAATATTGATTAGGATAATCCTAGTGTATTATCATATGATATCATTTTGGGTTTGTGTTCTCTCTCTCTCTCATATATATATATATACATGGTTTTCCTTTTTTGGTGGGGGAGTTAGATATCTCTTAACTGTCTTTCTAAAATATGGTTTTTAAATTTTTTCCTATTTACCTGTAACTAGTTATATACTGTAAATCTTAATGTGGAACTTAAGTGTACAGATAACACCTACGATTTGACTCTAACATGCAGCTAATTCCTTATCACCTCTCTCTTATTTACTTATCACGTAACCAGTTATGTCATAAATCTTAATTTGGCACTTAAAACATACAGATAACACCTACATTTTGACTCTTAGAGCCCATTTGGATTGGCTTAAAAAAGTAGTTTTTAGAAAGCAACTCTTTAAAGTCAAACTTAAATGACTTTTAAGTCAAAAAATAAAAAGTAGGGAGAGTCGTACTTTTGACTTTTAAGTTATTTTAAATTTGCCAAACACTCCCAAAAGTTAAAAATGACCTAAAAATAAGTTTGACCAATTTCTAAGCGAATCCTAACATGCTCTGAACATGTGGCTAATTCCTTGTCACACACCCCAACCCATCCCGTCCTCTCTCTCTTTTGACACATGCACACATATCATATATAGGGGTTAGAACTTTTAATGGCCGTTTTTAGAGAGGACAAACACTTAAAACCCTATATTCTTAATTCTCTCTATCTCTCTCTGTCTTATGTTATTTCCCATGAATCCAAATGCACCTAGTTCCTCGAAGAAAATGCTGGAATCCAATTTGAACCTATCATTGAAAGAAAATGAATTTGCGCCTAACTCAATTCCAAAAGCTAGCTCATCAAGGTGAGAATTACTCAAAACCATACAAGGAGACAACTCATACGACCAAGATGAAACTCTTAACACCTCTTAACGTGCTGCGTAGGTCACCCCTTTCGGTAGTTTATTCATTTGTCTTTATTCAATGGTTGTCTTTTATCTCTGTCGATTCTGAAGTTTTGGAAAAATTTGAATGTAGTACACGAGGTTCTAAAAGATGTTAATGGTTATCTGCCTGACTTTTTAGGATAAATTGAAGGAAAGAGAACGGGCTTTGCGAAAACGTAAAGAAAGAGAAGAACAAGAAGTGGAGAGGGTGCGGTCGAAAGCTCGTAGAAAAGAAGCTGTTGAATCTTATCAAGCCTTGCTGGTTGAAATAATTAAGGATCCTCAGGTATTATCTTGTATAGACCCCAAAACTGTTACAAGGAAATATCTTAGAACGTATGTCATGGATCATATCCCGTTACTTGATTAGACTGTTTGTCTGGATAGTCAAGAACCTTGAAACATAATTTCTGCTTCATCTTAATAAGCTCATCAGCAGTTTACCTGCCTTCATCTTAATTAAGAAACAAAATTCAAAAGAACTTTGTTTGTTGCAAAGTCCATCCATTTTTACACGGGTGGTTTGCCTTCCTAAATTTAACTGTGTTGTAAATAGCATTGCTCCTTGGTGCTCATCATTTATGTAGTTATAATTCTTGAGTTTTGGCTTTACATCTACTAATGAAGTCTGGAAGAATTGTGTTTTCTATGTGGTTAACTGTTGAAAAGGTCATTCCATTCTATTCTCTAGATGTCTATTTTCAAATTTTTGAGATATCCTTCTGCCTTGCACCCAAGGCTTCTTGGACAGAGTCAAAACCTAAATTAGAGAAGGATCCCCAAGGACGTGCAGCTAATCCTCATTTGGATCAGTCTGACTTGGAAAAGCTTTTCCGGGAACATGTGAAGGTGTTGTATGAGGTAAGATGACTATTGTCGTTCTTTTTTAAGTTAATGTTATCCTTATTATCTGCTTTTTAGGGGGAGTTGATACTTGCAAGAGTTGCTAATATTATCTAATCCGAGTTACTTGCATAACGTTGTGCAATTTCATAGAATTTGTTGTTCTATTTTTCCTGTATCTCATAGGATCAAGAAGCTCTTTTTTGTTCATATGAGATCGCAGAAAAAAAATAAGGTATATTTTTTTTATGACAAGGGAAGCCCGCAACCGCTACCCTTTGGGTGCGCATAGGATTAAACCTCCGCTCCTATGCAATAGCTCGCAAACCACATAGGAGAGGTAACCCGGGCTAGACAAGCCCGGTGCGAGGAGCTCGATCGAGAAGGCAAACCGCTTGCTTTCACTGGCAAGGGATTTCGAACTTGAGACCTCCAACATGGAAGTCCCAAGCCCAAACCACTGGGCCACCCCGAAGGATTTAAAAAAAAAGAAGGATCTTCCCTTCATCAATAATATCTTTTTTTTAGTTTGATAAAAATAAGATATTATTGATGAAGGGAAAAAACAACGGCAGTAGAAGAAGTGTACCAGAAAGTAGGAAAATTGGTTTTCGACAAAAGTCACCTGTCTTTTATACAAACAGGAACCGTGTGGGTGCACTAAGAAGCAATGAGGGGAGCAATAAGCTATTCCTCTAGTGTAAAAATCATTCTCTACTCAAAAGTTCTCCTTTTTCTCTCCCTGTAAATTTTCCACACAAGGGCTAGAAAAGTCACATCCAATGCCCTTCATCTTCTTTTCGGACTTCTGAATGTCCAACTGAACATAACTTTCTTTACCTTGCATGATATCATCGAAGACTGAAACATCCCAGTATCAATCAGATGTGATCACACACATGAAATATTTTACTTCCCTCCATCTTTCAAAATTGAAAATATTACTAATTAATTCTTAAAGCTGTAACTTACGTGTGTAAGTACAGCATTTTCCTTTCATTCTGATTGTTAGTTTGCATTATTCGAACTGACGTGTATACGAGTGTTTGTTTTGGCCCGTCATGCAGTTTATCTGTTTCATTGTTTATCAAGAAAATGGTACTCTTCTTTATTCTCATACTATATATTTTGGTTTACTAGCGGTGTGCACAAGAATTCAAAGTTTTGTTAGCCGAGGTTATAACTGTTGAAGCTTGTTCACGAGAGACAGAAGATGGTAAAACAGTTTCAAATTCTTGGTCAACAGCCAAACAACTAATCAAGGGTGATCTCAGGTATTCAAAAATGGCAAGAAAAGATAGGGAAACCTTATGGCGCAGATATGTTGAGGATATTCATCGGAGGCAAAAGTCAACAGTCGATGAAGCAGATAAGGCAAGAAGTAAAGGATCTTCTGATTCAAGGAGAAGGTGAAGCAAGCATTAATCCTCAACTATTTCTACCTTTCTCGGCCTTTCGTCTAAGATCAAGAGTAGTAATCCTCAAGGATTTTAGCTTGATCTCAGAAAGCTGAGAGAAGATAGATTTGACAGGACATTCATCTTTTAAGAGTGGCTACGAAGCGGAAAGCGGAGTACTTTTTGCCAGTTTATTTATCAATTCAAAGCCAGTGTTCAGAACTTTGTCAAAACTGAAACCTTTTCATACCTAGGTGGTCATGTTGTAGATTTGATTTCTTCTAATTCCATGTATGTTGGAATTTGAGATCACAGCCAATTCTCTTTCGTAATATTGCCTGACAAGATATGGAATACATGTTTGAATCGAATCAATCTGTTTTCCATTTACCTTGAATGTTTGAGATCGTTTGATTCCATAGAATTGAGTATTGTACTTTTCCTTTGAGGCCCAAAGAAGAGAAAAAGAAAAATGTCTTTTGGCAGAAGTATCTCACTTGACATGCAAGCGGAACTTGGTCACACCCATCCATGGTTGATTTCATAGTTTTTCGCGGCAGACTCCCCTCCGACGAGTGGTGTATTTTGAGGTAAGAACTCCTCGTGCCATCAACACAATGTACAATATCGATAAGTGCTAATGTACATATGATGCAACTAGTAGGCTAAGAATAGTAAACATGAATCTTGTTGAAACAAAACATTACATCACATCACACTACTGATTGTCTCGAGAGTATGACTGTATTACAAAATTTTCAATTCGAGAACTCTTCGCGCCATTAATTCTATCTAGAGCGTGACCCAGGGGCAAATGTATATAAGCCGCAACAACTAAGCTAACAATAGCAAACGCGAGTCACCTTGTTGCGTTGTTGGAATAAAATCATCAGATTGGCGCTACTGCTCAGGTTTAATTGGATTGTCTTTTTCAGGGTCTTTCTCTTCTTCCTTCTCTTTCTCTTCCTCTTCATCTCCCTCTTCCTCTTTCTTTTCTTCTTCTTCCTCCTCCTCTTCTGGAGGATCACCCGGCATAGGAGGTGGCAAGGGAGTTTTCATGGGACTGAATTGAGGAAAGATATCTGGTCTTCGTCCGGGCTTGGGTCTTTCCCATTCCTGCCAATAAACATGTTTCATCAAAATGCCTAGCAGCTTTGATGACGTTATTCTAGAAAGCAATATGCAGCATTGGTTCAAATTCTACACTTCCTATGGTACACAATGCAAAAAGGTTATTAATTAGGACATTGAAATTTCGAGAATGACATTGCCAAGGGCTTTTAGAAGCTCCTAGATAACACTAAATGAAAGTATCAAAATGGTATTGCATCTTTATATCTTTGGTACCAGATTCCTGACATACTAAGGTTAGCTACTTGGAAGAGACGGTACACCTCTTGATTGGAATATGAATAACTACGATCAATTCCTGTCTCCCCTCTCTCCCAAGACAGCTAAAACTTTACTCATTGGATATCATTCCACGTACTGGAGCTGGAAAGAGGGGAGGCCCAAACTACGACCAATAATTAACTTTCTGCGAGGTTTCATAGAGCAATGGTCACTGCTTATGGACCCAAACCTGGGTGATCCTATCCATGGCTATAAAAAATTATCCCTTTTTTTCCAGCAATTTCTGCGCCTTCAATGATAAGATTTCAAAAGACGATTCTTTCTCCACTACTTTCTGATGAATGATTGACAGGAAAAGATCGTCTTGGCTTCAAAAGTTGGTTATGTAGGGCGACAATATTTCTTCTAGGTTGTTTCAACAGGCCAAATAGCAGATAAATACTATGACTGAGATTGCAAGAAGAACCACTCCTCTTAAAAGCTGACCAATCAAACAAAGGGACTAACTTTATTATGAGGATAGAAAATTTGGTTTCACTCCGGATACAATTTCAGAAATTTCATTCTCTTTTTGACCATATAAAATCGAAATTGGTAACTTGATAGTTTTGAGTGTAGTGCACAATTTAATTCATCAAAACAACAACAATCATTCACACTTAAATAACCATTAACTGTAAATACCCCTACCTTGTGGAGGTAGAGGGATTGGTTTCAGAGGACCCTCGGCTCAACTGCAACAAATCAAAGTAGGTATAGAAAGAAAAAACGACAGTGAAGAAAACATGGCAACTAATAAGTAGATAGTAATAACAACAAAATAGTGCGATAATCGAAACACAACAAACAGCAAATGATGATAGAAAGACACTACAAGTAAAATACTAATACTACGCCAGACACCACCCAGCTTAAACCCATCGGAAAGTAAGACAACGCCCAACTACTAATCTGCTAAGTTGAAGTTGCACCATAGGTTTTAACAGTACACATTGCAATTTCCTATGCTATTTTCTGATCAGATTTGGCACAATTCAAATCATCCAAATAGCAAACAACAGCTCCAACTTAAACAACCAAAAACCATATCTAGATTAAACAAGCTATCATTACAACTTCTACATAATACATTTTACTCTTAGCACACACTAAGCTGCAGTTCAGAATAGCTAATAGAAGAATACATCTACAATTAAAGTTAAATAACCAGAAACAAAAACGAGTTTTCGAAGCTTACCATAGGGAAGTCGAGAGGTGAGCGTTGAGTCTTCTTCTCTTCTTCCGGCGCCATACGCACTATTTGTGAACTCCTTCTAGAATAACACAGAGATGTCGGTCTCAAAAACGGCATAAAAGCAACGGTGAGTGGTGGCTGAGAGAATGAGCAAGTGAAACGAACACTACACGAAGGTGATGACGACGATGCTGAGGATAGAGAACCGGGGCGGTTTAACATCGCCACCGTACATGGCGGCGGAGAAGATAACGCCGGCACGAAAGACGATAACGCCATTGGAGTTGCGGCAGAGAGAGGCTTTTTTCGCTTCTTCAGCTACTTTGAGATATTGGCGGTTGAAACGTATTGGGCTTTTTGAGGCCTTTAGAATTCATTTACACTCTAGGCCCATCAAAGCTTTAGGATAGTTTAACCTTCGGAGGTCGGTTTTTTTAGCGTCAAAAATTTAAAAATATAAAATCGATCTTTAGAGTTAAAATTGACGTTGCTTCGCAAGAAATCCCTATGCACATACAATTTTGAAATTGCATATATTGATTTCAGTTGTTCACGTAATTATTTAATGACTTAATATACATATACATACAATTGATCAGGGGCGAGGATATAGGTCACTGAATGTGGGTTGCAGGAATGCAATAACGTTTGCACGAATCATGATTTGTATTGAAAAATCTAATAAATATATAAGAAGAATGATTTGGGAACTCTATAATAGATTGCGTTGTTTGGTTTAGTTGAAAAAAAGAAGACTTTTTAAGCTTCACTCAAGGGTTCAATCTCTTGGTCACCGTGTAGGCCTTTATTTTGTCTCTTTTTATCATTTAAATTAAGATGGGTGAGGGCCCACAAATGTCGAATTCTAAATTCATCTCTAAGTTGATCACACATACATTAAGCTTCTACTTTGAGAACACATGCTTACAATTAGATATTGTATTGCGTATTCAGTTAGAGTGATTTTTTTAATGGGCGTAAATAGTATTTTTCTACGTTATAAAATAAAAATGTTGCTACATTTGTAAGGAAAAAAATAAATTTTCGCTATATTTAATAAAAACGAGTACAAATATCGCTACTTAGCTCATCATTTTATTTCAATTCTCAACCTAAAAAAATTGGCTTGTCTTTGTCTATATTTATTTTTATTCTTAAAAACATGATAAGTTTTGTGAAAATGATTTTCTTTTTATGCTTTGTTTTTAGTGGAATTATTTAGATTCTTAATTAAACATCAATCAAATCTCTACCTCAATTAGTTCAATGGCTAATTGTTGAGATGACCAAGAATTCAATCAATATATATAAAAAAATATAGAAAGGTTCTTATTATTTTAAAGAAAACTTATGAAGAGAGCTTATCAATAATTAAAATATTTTAAACCACTTGTAATTTTAAAACTCAATAAAAAAAACTAATTAGTAATATCTTCAATTTTGAAGGATGGATGGAGGTGATGGTTGAAAAAATAAATCAAAACTTTATCATATTTTCTTCCATTCATTTGTCAAAAATCAAAATAAGAATTGAATGCAATAAATGTAACAAATAAATTGATTATAATATTTTTTCCTTTTTATATAAACAATTATTCCTTACATCTAATAATCTATCATAACTCTTAGAAAATACTCCTTTAAAAAAAAAACTACTAGTATTTTTTTTTCCAAAAGATTCTCAATACTCTCATTTGATTTGTTTTCCCTCTAAACAACTTTGACACATTCTTTATTCCTTTATTTTCCTTTTAAACTTCAAATGGTTGATGCATCACAAAGTTTAATTTGAAACAAAGAAATTATATGAGTATTTTCTGGACTTTTAATGTGTGGTTAGTATTTGTATTGAAAATTTGATTAATTTAATTTTGTATTGCGAAATACTGAATGTTTATTTAAAAAGAAAATATTTCGTGCTATGAGTTATTTTATATTCAAGACTCAAATTTAAAAGTTTTGATAATGAGTTAGAGAGAGATTATATGAATTAAATATATTTACACTTTGCCCTTTTCTTTTCTAGAAAGAAGAAAAAAAAATAAAAATTACACTAAACTTCCTTTTCAAAATTGTGATACAAAGCTAATGAATTTAATCAATTAAATAGATGATTAAACTTCACCTTTTTTCTTTCTAGAAAAGTAATAAAAAATAAAATGATTACATAGAAGCACCTACTTTTCATTTCAAATTTGACTAGAAAAAGTTACTATAAAATATTTTTAAAAATTATAATTAGAACCAAATATGTTAGATGTCAGCCGTTGGATGAGTGCTCGATTAGTGATCGACGGTTGAGATTGGTAGAACTTCCGTTGCCGTGATTTTATAGAGAAAATGACAAAATGGTCCTTTATATTTGAAGGTAGATTCTAAATAGTCCGTTAAATAAGCATCAATAAGATTTAACATGGTATAACTTTTTAAGGTGTAATTTTTGCTATTTCCTATATCATCTCGGTGTTTAGTGCAATTTCCTATGTTGCATTTTTAAAAGGCTTGTAGATACTTAAATAGATGCGTGAATATAGTAGAAGAGACAAGATTAGATAAGAATATATGGGATAATATGAGAGTGACATTTATGATGCAGAAAATAAGATTGAAATGATCTAAACTTAAAAAAGAGGAGGAACATAGATGCTCTAATGAAAAGGCGTATGAGTTTGATGGTGATAGGCCTATGAAAAATTGAGAAGAGATTATCAGACAAGACGTTATTCTCCTCTCAACGATAAACCCAAATATCAGGAACTTAACCGATACAAAACTTTATGAAAATACCCAAAAAAGTTTGATCCAGACATTGTAGAGGCATGATGACTTGACGTCATCCTCATCTTCCTTTGACTTATCACCCGACAGTATATCCCGGATTCCAAATTCAACATACAAGAGTTGCACTCCCAATACCTTACGACATGTGCTAATAGAAGATCATAAAGCTCAAACAAGTAGAAAGTTAATAGGTAGTGAAGCGGTTTCTTTGCTTTCAATGAGACAAAAATGCTTCTAGTTTAAAGCACGTTATTTTTCCTCTTCAACTTATTAATTTATCCACATTATCTTACTCTTCAATTTTAACACTGTTTTCGTTACTTGGATTACGTTTACTAATTTTGTTCTTCGTACCTTGATATTTTCACCATATATTCTTTATTCTAATCTCCGACCTATTGAGATCCACTTATAAAATCACACTAAATACATAGTTTTATTCATTTTTAAAACTTTCTTTTTATTTTTCTTTTTTAACTATTTTTTATCAAGTTTAGTGAAAAATTATTAAACACAAACTATTCACAAAGATATTTAAGAAACAAATTTAATTTTTGAACCCACCTATCAAAAAACATAAAAGGACCATTTTTGTCATTTTCTCGTGATTTTGAAAACGCCATTTCTCCTTCTTCTTCACCTTCTCAAATTTTCCCCTTTTCGCCATTGTTTTCAATCCTCAATGTGAAGAAAAATCATCGCAAAAATCGCCTTTTTTTTCATTGAATTTGAGTTGAAAGAAGCCATCGTTTGTTGAATATACTTCATTTTTTAAAATTATTTTTTTTCCCAATTTTTTCATCTATTAATCGCCAAAATTGACAGCGTTTATGCAATGTAAGTTTTTCAACCGAATCATATAATTTTTTTTGTGTTTTGTGTAATGTATTTTACTTCGAAGTTCGAAGACTTACTTTAAATCCTTGCAGGAAGGACGGAGAACAAAGGGTTTATTGATTTGTTGCGTAATGTGCTGTGAATCGAGAAGTGGGTTTTTTTTGATTTGGTGGTTTTGACTCTCTCTCGATGACAACTACCAAACGTGCTTATAAGCTACGTATCCTTTTTTTGTTTTTTTGTTTGTATTGTTAGTTTATTTGCTTAATTTTGTTGTTTGGCTTGTAATTGATCATATAGGGTAACAATTTCTTCATAAAAATTGAAAATTGTGCAATGTGGTGCATGATTAACTTTGAGTGGGCTGGATAAACCGATATAGAGATTAGAGACAAATGATGGTAGGGAAGATCAATAGTTTTGACTGGGTTCTTAATGTTTTTTGTTTCTATTGGGAAAAAAGGGGGAAAGAAATGAATGTGAGCCGAGGTGTACCAGCAGTAGTCTCTCTACCTCACAATGGTAGGGGTAAGGTTTGCGTAGATCCTACCTCCCCAGACTCCACTTGTGGGATCACACTGTGTATGTTGTTGTAGAAATGAATGGTAAAGTAGAGAACTCACACTATAATTTGAAGACCTTGACAATGCTTTGTAATAGAGGAATTTGTAGCACATTCTTTAAGTGTGAACTGCTTAAAGATTGGGAGAAAATCATCCAGGGTTCTTGTAACTGGGGGAGAAGATCACAAAGTTAATCTCTGGTCCATTGGCAAGCCTGATGCCATATTGGTTAGTATCTCTTATTAGTTTCTCTTTTCATTATAATTTCATTTCGTTTGTTATGTATGTGTGCATTGAGATCAAAATATCTTTTGCCTCTAACCAAAAAGGAAGGTATATGAGTACAAAGGGTGAGCGTTTACATCATTAAATTTGATTTACACTTTCAAGCAGATAAATCTGTATTCTGTAGTCCCTTTTCGGATGACCACAATGGAATGTTCTCCCTGATCGAGGCCGTTGTTTGGGACTTAACCTTTCCGTTATCATTTTCTCTGTTTGCAAAGATGCAATCTTAGCGGCAACATTGTTTGTTTTTTAACACATTGTCTTGTAACTGTATTCTTGTGTAGAGCTTATCAGGTCATTCAAGCGGAATCGATTCCGTTAGCTTTGATTCTTCAGAAGTTCTGGTAGCTGCAGGAGCAGCCAGTGGTACTATCAAGCTTTGGGATCTAGAGGAAGCCAAAAGTAGGCTTTTTATAACTTTATTCTTTGTGAAAATTCATTTTTTTGTTGTTTATCGTGAACTTTACAAATTCTATCTCTTTATCGATCTATATTTCTCAGTTGTTCGAACTCTCACTGGACATAGATCCAATTGTATATCATTGGACTTCCATCCCTTTGGTGAGTTCTTTGCATCTGGGTCTCTGGACACAAATCTAAAGATATGGGATATTAGACGCAAAGGGTGCATTCACACATACAAAGGTCACACTCGAGGTGTCAATACCATCAGGTTCACGCCAGATGGCCGTTGGGTTGTATCTGGTGGAGAAGACAGTAGTGTAAAGGTCGGACTCCTCTTCTTCATTTCTTTCCTTGTTCAGTAATATATTTGGGAACTAACACATTGAAGTGCCTTCTAATGGTTGGCTGAGCCATATCAGACTGTACTTGCTAATATTTTGGATGATATCTAAACGACATGGCCACATGGCTCAAAATGAAAGAAGACTGATGATTATTGACATACATCAACTCAATGAAACATTCACTTATGATGATGCCTTTAAATTTGCTGCATCTTACAGAAGCTACTTTGTTATAGATCAGTCCATTGGTACGCTAAATATGGTCGTGAGATGATGGAATGACGGATATTTTAATCTTGGTACTTAGCACATTCTTATGACCATGATGAAAACCACTATCATTAAAAGCAATCGTGCCGTACATAAAGTGACAGTGACGCAAAACTACTGTTTTAAATAGTTTCTTTTTTCCACGTGCATCTTTCTAGGATATTATTGTTTGCTTGATATCAAGTAGCTGTATCAGCCTGTAAGCTCTTTAAGTCTAGTTATCCTGATAATAGATTCAGTGTTGTGGCAGATATGGGATTTGACTGCAGGAAAGCTTTTACATGATTTCAAATGTCATGAAGGAAAAATTCAGTGCATAGACTTTCATCCTCATGAGTTCTTACTGGCTACAGGTTAGAAAAAGCTTTGACTTAGTGCTACAATGTTCTTCTTAAGTGAAGGTCATCTTTCTTGTTGTCTTGTAAATCCTCCTGTAACTTTTGTTGTATTTCTGAAATGAGTTCACTGATGTATTCTATGATCTATGTAGAACTTGAATCTAGTGGCAACCTAAAACTTTCTCATGATGATATTCTTAGTAAAGATAAGAATAACCAAACATTTGGATCAAGAAACGACAAATTGAGAAGAGTTTACTCATTTATCTGAACTTATGACCAGATTTGATAAGTTTTGCTATTGATTAATAACTTTATCCGCCATTATTATTTTCAAGCTTATTTTCATATTTTTTGTTCTTATCTCCAGTTTAAGTGGTTTCCTCTCCAATCAGATCTGTGACTTCTATCTTGGGGATCTATAGAACTGCTTTGTCTACTTATATAGGAATCTGTTTTTTCATGTAAGTACTTACATAAAAAGTATATAGAAATGCTGTCTCATTGTGGTGCATGTTTTTAGGGGAGTTGGTACCTGATGAATAAGGTTTTCATATAAACATCGCAGGCTCCATGAAACAATACTCTCTTGTTTCCTCACAGTCGAGCTTTCCTTTTCTAACCAAAATAAAGGAAATACAAACATCAGTGCCGCCCTGTTCCCTAGTATGGAAACTAGTGATTAGTGTTAATCTAGCTTTGGGATTTCCTGCAGCGTTTCTTGTGAAAATATACCAGGAACCCCATATTAAAAGTAATGTATATTTTTGTGTCGAATTATTGGGAATTAAGTTTTAGCTTTCTTTTTTCGTGATTCAAATTTGCAGTTGGGAAAGAGGGAGGGGGAACCAAAATAGGAGGGAGCTGCATTTAGGTTTTGAGAAAGTATAAGGTGCTAACTAATTGAAGCCTGCATCTTCAGGTTGCTAATGCTGATTACACAACCGAATTCAGGGAGTGTTGAGGGATAGTGCGTGTGAGGATCGAAGAAAGGGGTCAAATTAATTATTAAAGAAAGGTCACCGAGAGCTGGGCTGCAGGCCCTTACGCCTTTATTTATATATAATAGATGAAAATTAGCTAGTTGTATATAGAAATAGCCAGATCGTCTGAAGCATGAACAAAATCGCCTTTGTTCTTGTGTCTTATCACGAAAGCTGTCAGATGCCTTACTATTTGTTCTTGGTTTTTGCATTACCAGGTTCTGCTGACAAGACAGTTAAATTCTGGGACCTTGAATCTTTTGAACTCATAGGTTCTGCTGGACCTGAGGTTCGTTGGGTTCTTCTCTTTGATTTCCCTTTTCTCATTGCAGTACACACGGCTGAGTGTTTCTCATGTATTTTGGCAACTATATGAATTGTCAGTATAGTAAAAAAGAACTGTTTTTATCTGAAATCTAGACAACAGGAGTGCGTTCCATGGCCTTTAATACTGATGGAAGAACCCTTCTTTGTGGATTACATGAGAATTTGAAGGTAGATATGCATTTTCTGTTTTGAGAAATAGTTTTGTTTAATATATTTGGCGCTTAGTCCATCTCCTAAAGAAAGTAGTCCTTCTTTGTAGGTTTTCTCATGGGAACCAATTAGGTATCATGATACAGTAGATGTTGGATGGTCTACATTGTCTGATCTTAGTATTCATGAAGGAAAACTTCTTGGATGTTCTTATAATCAAAGTTGTGTTGGAGTGTGGGTTGTCGATATTTCGGTAATAGTCACCTTTTTTCATTGAAGTTGTCTCTTTGATGTCTTGCTTCTTCCGGGATTTTTAAGTAATGTCACACTTCATCATGCTTGCCTCTTGCAGTGTCTTGAACCATACACAATGAATAGTTCTACACCATCAAGTGGTCACTCAGCAGCAAAATCCAATTTAAGAGTGAATCTATCCACTTCGGCTGAGGATGCTACAGATGCAAGTTGTGAGGGACAATTAATTTCACAAAACTCCGATCTTGTGAAAGAGACTAAGTCGTTCAGAAGACTTTCTTTGTCACAAAACATGGTTCTTCAGAGGGATTCTGCTGCTCTTACTAGTATGCTACTCTTCCGTTTTTAATGTTTCCCTTACCTTAGCATTATTAGCTTGGCACCTTAGCTTAAGTTCTTACTCTGCTTCTTTAATTCCCCATTTACTACTAATTTAGCTCCTAGCCTTTGATTAGCTTCTTTTGTTTAAGTTTGGTTGCCAGAATATTTTCTTACATTCGCACTTATCTTCTGAATGAAGCTATCACAGATACTCCTGGCACCACACAAAAAGTAAATCTCAGTACTGGTCCAAAAGCACCTCCATTCAGCTCAAGAGCAGTTCCTAATACAACGGGTGTAAAGAGGAATTCAGCAAAAACCCAGTCAACAGAAAATGGCTCTATTGTCAATAAGTCAGAGATTATACCTGTTCTTGTCCCAAGAAATAATGAAAGAACAGAGCTCGCATCTGAATGCAGGAAAGGAGGAGTTGCAGGAAGGGAAATGCCACAAAGATTGCAGCCAAAAGTATCTGATTGGAAGTCTCCTACTACCAACGAAGACCTCGGGATGCCAACTTCTGCAGCACAGTCTGAAGTTGAAGTACCTAAGGCTATTGAAAGTAGTAGCCCTGCAGACAGGAACAATTTTCCTTCTGTTAAATGCTCAATATTTGAAACTGCTGCAACTGATAGAAGTGTGAATGATGACAAGAATTTAGTTTCCACAAAACTTGATATCAATACAGCACATGAGCCACTTTCCAGACACCAAATTGAAAATTGTGCGTATTCATTCACTTGTGTCCTTCTATTTTTTTATATTGTCTTTACCTTTTCTGTTTCTATGCTTTTGTGTGTTGTGGGTTGTTTTTAGACATTGTGAGGTATGATTTTTGATCAAGAATGTTTTAAGGTATATTATGCCGGGCAGTATCAATTATGTATGTGCTCTCTAATTAGATCTAGAATTTTAGCACCATATTTGTGTGTTAAGTTGCATAGATATACTTCTAAGCTGGATGCTATGTTTCATTTGTAAAAAAGGAAGCCCGATGTTTCTCCTCCTGTTTGGTTCTCAGTGGTTAAGTGAAGTGATTGTATACCAGTAAATTTCATCAACTTATGGAGCCAAAGGAATAGTATAAGGGGTGTAGAGGAAATTAATATCTTTTATGGTGCATGTATGGATATATCTACTGATGTGTGTGTGTGTGTGTCTTGCCTTTTCGTGTAATAATTTTTTTGCCTTGATTTTATTCATACTTTTATACTTATGTTTTGAGAATGTACTTAACTATCTTTGCCAATCACTTCAATAACCTTCCTTGAGCTTTGTTTGGATTTCTTATTTGCTCACTAGTTCAACTGATCATCACCATAATTGCTGTGGAAGGGAAATAGCTTATTTGTTTAATCCGTAGCTTTATTCATTTCTGTACTTCTCCCATAAATTATCAGTCTTCTACTCCGGTACAATTTCTTAATAGATCTGTTCTGTGGTTAACTGTATCTGTATTTTGCCTTGTCTTTAGAATAATATGAACTAACTGTATTATTAACACTTACCCTTTGTACCAGATGAAGCCCGTGGAAATATTCTTAATAGGAAACCTTATTCCATGCTAGGCCAACAAAGAGGTAGAACTCTTTTTACTGCTATTGGTGCACTTCTAAATTATGGTTGTCTCATGCATTGAATTTGGAAAATTAGGTAGGACACGATCCACTATTGCAAACTGGGAAAAGAGAGATAAAGTTCCTGGTTATGAGGGTCTTGCTCCCTGCACTGTTGGGGCGGTACCTGCTCCGGATGTGGTTCCCACCAATGTGGTATGAGTCAAATCTGCGTTTTTTCCTTATTTGTAATTCCAACTGTTACTGCCTATTGAGATTTTCCCATTTAACAATATTAACCATTTGTTGCTAATTTTAATGATGGTTATTTAAGGAATGTGGAAGCATTTCAGTATTTTCAGTGTGTGATTTACGACCACATACTTTTAGCAAATTGTGGGATTTTTTCAAGTTAAATTAGCACTTTACAATCATGGAAAAGGAGTGCAAAAGCAGGGGAGAATGGGGTTTCTGTTGACAGTTAGGGGTGCACATAAGTCTATCCGAGTCAAAACACTGCCAGGTTTGGCAAAGATTATTCTCGACTCAACATAAAACTTGAAGGTTCCCAGTGATAAAGTCACAAAATAAACTAGGCTGCAAAACAACCAACCTAACTTTCAATCATCAGAAACCCGATTTCTGATTTATCTAACCCAAACAGAAAAAAGTTAGAAGTGATGGCATGTTCATTCAAACAGGAATCATAAGGCCGTGTGGGGCAGCTAGAATGCCATCATTGAGAGAAAAAGGAAAAGGAAACTAAATTCATCATTGGAACTTTTTTTCTTATGTTCTGTTTGATCTCTATCATCAATTTGGTTGGCAGACCAATTGCTGACAAATTTTCTAATTATTAGAAGTAGAATCTTGGACATGAACTGCAATGTAATTCATTATTGTAGTAGTATAGCGACTTCATAGATAGACATTCACTTCTATGGTAGTCAACGCATTAGGACACGTGATAGCTGGAACATTGAACTGTTAATAACTAAAATAGTTTTCACATAATCTCATGAATTTTGTTGTTTCTTCCATGAATATGATAGGATAAAAGTCATTTATGTGAAAGTTGTATAATTTCTCTCTTCCCTGACACAGAATTTAACTCATCGTAATTCAAAAATCGTACATGAAAAGAGAGAAGACCTTTTATCAGCTGTAAGTGAGGCGGTTTCTCCTGACGATGAGGATATCATTGCTGACTTGATGGAACAGCACAAAGAATTTGTTGGCTCGATGCAATCTCGTTTGGCTAAATTACAGGTAGCAATTTTGGAGAACTTGCTAATGGTTATTTGATTCTCTAACTTGGCAACATTAAGCTTTTGCAGTCCTTGCAACTCATTTATGTGTTAAGACTTTTAGTCCCTTATAACTGATTTGCATTATCATAAGATGATGACCTACTTGGAATGTTTAGCCTACTCTTTTGCAGATTTTCTTGCTAATCGGTAAGATATGCTGATGGGGTGGGGAGAAATTTATTCAGTTGATCTCTACCATGTGATATTGCTGTTCAAGAGTTGGCTTAATTATATCGAGTTTTTGACCTTTTGTAGGTTGTCTACCAGTACTGGAAAAGACATGATATTAAAGGGGCAGTAAGTGTAATGGAGAAGATGGCAGATCATGCTGTAAGTCTCTTGTTTTTTTGTGCCCTATTTTAAATATTAATATGTACCTTTTTAACACCATATGGTTTCCATTTGCCGGCTTACACAGGTACTTTCTGAGTTAGTGAGTTTCTTGGCCGAGAAAAATGACATTATCACATTAGAAATTTGCACATGCCTTTTACCACTTCTCACGGGGCTGCTTGAGAGCAAGTTGGATAGGTAGAACAAATTGAGCTTTGTTTTCCTTTTCTTTGCTGACCTTGTTGAAAATTTTCCATGACTGACATGTTTTCTTCTTGGTGGACTTCTTTTAGACATCAAGATATTTCATTGAGTATGCTGCTCAAGCTTGTTAAAGTATTTGGTTCACTGATTTATACTTCGTTGTCTACTCCAACATCAGTTGGTGTTGATATTGAGGCAGAGAAAAGGTTTTATTACATGTTTTCTTTTACTTCTTATTAATTATTATGTCTTTTTAGTTCAAGTTTGAACGGTTTTATTGCTTATTGTCAACAAAAGGATGGAGCGCTACAATCTCTGCTTTATTGAGCTTGAAAAAGTCAAGAGTTGTCTGCCTGCTCTTTCGAGGTATGTGAAAGCACCTAAGCGACCATCTTTTGGTCCGTGAAGAATATATATTGCTAACATTTCTCCATTTCTCCATCTTTTTTTTTTGTCATTTAGAAGAGGAGGATCAATTGCCAAAACTGCTCAGGAGCTGAATCTAGCACTACACGAAGTTTCATGAGTTTAGTATTATTGCATGGAATATCGAAAGTAACGATGGTGTTGCTGAACTTGAGTGACTTTTGTAGATGCCTGCACTGCAGGCTTTTGTACCTTGCAGAGCTAGTATCCTCTATGCAGATGCAACACTGACTACTAATTTCTTCACATTTACACTTATCATCATCGATAGTTATGGACAAACATGGTCACTGATGATTCATATAGTCGATCCCAACTTGTTTGGGACTAAGCTGTGTTGTTGTATTGAAAGTTAAGGACAACATGCTTTAAAGATGCTGCTAATGAACCTGCTTGTTGGAGAAGGATCCATCATACTAATTCTCACCTAACCCCAATACATATTAATTATTCTTTGTAATTGTAGTTTTTGTTGTGTGAATTCATGTATCAATTGTGGTAATCAACATACTATGCAAGGGTATTTAAAACTATAGCTGACTCAATTAGTTTGAGATTGAGACAGTGTTGAGTGATATATTTTATTTTGTGTCTTAACTTGTCAAAGTAAGAAATGATACTGGCTTCATAAAAAAGAAAGAGGTTCAAAGGCTTCATGTTCGAGTCCACGGAATGAAAAAAATTATGATTAGAGAGAGCTTATGGTTTACTGCTTATTTTTTGACATAATACTTAAATATGCCTTTTAACTAATATTTATGTCCTTCAACTTTTAGTGTGTACAAGTAGACACTTAAATTTGTCTAAACTTGAACAACTAGATGCGCGTGTCCTACCTGACATAATACATGTAGAACACAAAATTGCCATGTAGGATGTCATGTGACTATTTGTTCAATTTTATACTAGTGTAAGTGTCTACTTGTGTACACCCAAAGTTAGAGGGCATAAATGTCAATTGAAGCCAAGTTATAAGACACAATGCCTTACTTTTTCTAACCAGTATACATAGATTATTCACTCATTATACATGATCATACCCACAATATTCATGGATTATACTTATACATACATCCATCGGCTATTTTTAGTTTAATCGGTTTGGTGGATGACTATGTAGACCAAGTCTTCAAAAAGTTAAACTTATAGGATGTGAAAGTGAGGACCAAAAATCAGAAAGCTAAAAACTCATACATGACATCTTATTAATGATGTTTAATTCTTTGTATACATTTGACACAAATGACAAGTTCATTTTTATAGTTAAAACATAACAAGTTGAGAGGAAAACACAGAAGTCTGGTGCAGACTATTCTACATGAATCTTCAAGCAATAGGCTTCAATACATACATCTTGCATGCATGAGAGTTCACTGTAGCTGTCAAATTCCCTACAAATCTTGTCTCCAATGTCTTGTGCTGCATCAGAATATGCCAAATCATTTCCATTATGAGTAAAATGGTTAACAATCACTTCAGTTAATACTGGTAAAGACTTTAATTTTCGTATAACTTCTTAAAATGATGAAGGATAGACTACTTTATCTATCTAGCTCAGTATAACGTAGATTACTTTATGGATCCATATGAGTATTACATAGAGGTAGGTATCTATTTCCCAGATTTATTAGATTTCTATCATTACTTGTTGTTTCAGTATCTTATTCACATGTTTCTATTTGTTGTGAGAAATATAGGAAAAGAATATTATTGAATTGTTGTTGTTTCTACATTATTACATTGAGACCTTATTTATAGACCCTAGAATACAATCCTTTACCAAGTAGGATACTATTTAGTATTCCTATTTCTATTTCTATTCCTATTCCTATTCTAATAGGATTGTATAAACCTATTCATATTCTTATAGGATTATATAAACCTATTCCTATTCTTATAGGATTGTATAAACCTATTCCTATTCTAATAGGATTGTATAAACCTATTCATATTCTAACACTCCCCCTCAAGCTAGTGCATACAATTCATGTACCTAGCTTGTTACAAATGTAATTAACACGAGGACCGATGAGGGGCTTGGTGAGACATCTGCGAGTTGATCACTCGACTTCACAAAATTGACAATAAATTTCAATGTGCTTGATCTTCTCATGAAATACTGAATTTGATGCATAATGCCGATAAAACACAGAGTGATAAAATTACAGTGTTGGAACTTCCCAAACCAAGCTTGCAAAAACTGTTTCAGACCATAAAGTGACTTATGTAATCAACATACAAGGCTACTAAACTCCCCCTGAGCAACAAAATTAGGTGGTTGCTCCATATAGACTTCTTCACAATGCAGCGAACATTGTAAGTGCTCAAAATCTAGTATAAAGTACATGGTTCATGTTGGAATCAATAGACAGTCGATATTAAACAAGTCACCGAAAAACTGCCCGAAACATGCTCATATGCCGGAGTATTAGATTTGATGGGTAAAAGTGGTCACAATCTAAGAAATAAAATTATATGGGTAGGGTTGGAATGATGTCACGACCCAACTAGAAAATAGAAATTATATAGGATAGTTCGAATTGATGGAACGACCCCATTGAAAAAGAGAAATAATATGGGTAGGGTCGGAATGATGGCACGACCTTACTGAAAAAGAAAAATAATATGGGTAGGGTCAGAATGATGGCACGACCCTACTGAAAAAGAAAAATTATACGGGTAGGGTTGGAATGATGGCACAACCCTATGCAAATCAGATTTAAGGAGTCACCGGAAAGACGAATGAAACTATGCAAATCAAATCTGAGGAGTCACTGAAAAGACACATGATGCTATGCTACTCAGATATGAGAAATAGTTCGGAAAAATCCACGGTACTACACAAATTAAATATGAAAAGTAGTCCGGAGAGATGCACGGTGCTATGCAAATCAGATATGCAAAAAAAGGTAGTCACCGGAAAGATGGCACGGTGCTACACAAATTATATATGAAAAAGGAGTCACTGGAATGATGGCACAGTGCTACACAAATTAGATATGAAAAAGTAGTCACCAGAATGATGGCACGGTGCTGCACAAATTAAATATGAAAAAGCAGTCACCGGAATGATGGCACGGTGCTATACAAATTAGATATAAGAAAGTAGTCACTAGAATGATGCATGGTGACCCAACTTTTGCTAACATAATCATTGGCCAGACGGGTAACATATATGGGTGCCACCCGCCGGCAGCGGAAGCTCTTTAATTCTCTACCAAGTTCGTAGAGGCTCTGATACCATGTGAGAAATATAGGAAAAGAATATTATTGAATTGTTGTTGTTTCTACATTATTACATTGAGGCCTTATTTATAGACCCTAGAATACAATCCTTTACCAAGTAGGATACTATTTAGTATTCCTATTTCTATTTCTATTCCTATTCCTATTCTAATAGGATTGTATAAACCTATTCCTATTCTTATAGGATTATATAAACCTATTCTTATTCTTATAGGATTGTATAAACCTATTCCTATTCTAATAGGATTGTATAAACCTATTCATATTCTAACAGTTGCTATTGCCTCTTTTTCACTGTTTCACTCGACTGAGGCTCTCTCGGAAACAACCTCTCTACCTTCTCAAAAGGTAAGGCTACCCTTCTCAGACCCCACTTGTGGAAACACACTGGGTTTTTTTGTTGTTTAAAGTATCACTATGAAGTACTTATATCCAAGTTGTATGTATGTTTTGGACATGGTGAGTCTATAGCCAAATATAAAAGTTTAACAAGTATCAGTTCTTTTGTGGCCACAAGGTTTGAACCTATGACGTGTGTCTAACTCACACATCAATGTTGGGCTCTTACTACTAGGCTTTACACCAAAGCCTGGGAGCTCATTCTTCATGAAATATTTCGAAAAAATAGAATATGAATTGTTAACATAGACATACCTCCCAAAGGTCTCTTGCTATTACAACACTGTTAGGGGGGATTCCGATATCATCCCAGTTTGCTGTTATTTCGTATCTCTGAGGACCGCGGTTGAGAAGCACTAAAGCTACTCTATAGCCTGATAGAGGTCCTGCCCAGATCTGTTCGTAATAGAATGTGCACAGATTATCATCTGCAATCTGCCTTACGAGAAGGGAAAAAAGGTTCTACTTTGTATAGATTTTTGTTACCTCAAGATCACCTTCCATTCTAACCTTTTTGCCCTGGATACCTAACTCATCTGTTCAACACAACGAATGAGTCTTGATGATCGCGTATAAATTATAACAAAATGACTAGTTGCAGTTGACGTTTTGTGGAGTTTAGTACCTTGATCTACCGCGATCACCTCCTTGTTGGCTAGAATCTCCATTGTATCATGTGATAAATTTCTCACATCACAACCAATGATAAGGGGAGCCTAGAATTAGCATACAGAATGTATCATACATTCTGGCAGTCGTACCAAGGAGCAGAAATAGCGTTGATATAAAAGTGAAATATACATTTACGAATGATGTTGCTGTTGTTGTACCTTTGAAATCGCCCAGATACTAAAGTGAACGATGTATTCATCCTTCGTCATCCCTCCATTTCCAACCTCAAGCATGTCGGGATCTGTTTGGAATGTGTGAAAATATAAGTAATTGGAAGTGTCCTCTATAATAAGTGAACGTTTAGATAATATGGTCACACATTCTAACATCGTATCATTCCATGAAAAATGATCAGGCCCACACGTGAAAAGGCGTGTTGAGACACATCTAAATACTAACCATTCCAGCCACCAGGCCTTGCATAATCTGTATAAACTTCATTCTGGTCTGCTCTAGAAATCATGCTGTCAAAAGAAGGAAAGACGAATACAAGATCAAGTCATGAAATCTGTCAATTAAAAGACGTATTTAACTACTCCCAAGTCCGTTTAAAAAAGAATGCCTTTAAGACCACAGGACAAAACGACATTTTGGTACATTCAACATATCTTTAGTTGAATACAAACAAATTGAAACGGAGAGAGTATTACCTGTCCCATGTATCAGTAATATCATTCGTAGTTCTCCAGCTGTTACCTAATTTACCACCCCACAATGCCGGATGCAAATCACCCCTATTCGAGAGAAATAGGTGCATATCATCAACAATACTGTGAAAATGAGAGCAGGAAACCATAAAAAGGGCTTATCAAGGAAGACATTGTCACCATTCACAAAGATTAAAGAAGATAGGTCTTCCAACTTTCATTAGAGCTCTCGTCATAACAGGGTATCTGCAGAAGAAAGGGATCCCCGTCAAGAAAAGAAGTTCGATAGACAACTAGTGGAATCTGTTACACATGATTTCGCGATACATACCTGACAGTTGGCTTTGTTCCATCGTGGTTGCAATTATCGTACTTCAAGTAATCAATACCCTGAATGAAAATCTTGTTATCAACAACTATGTTCGAATTGTTATACAATCAAGATTAATCAGGATACTTGTACTTACCCATGCTGCAAAAGTTGTTGCATCTTGTTCCTCGTGACCAAGTGAACCAGGCATTTTCTTGCTACAAGTATAATACCTGTAGAATCCTTAAACGGTGAATTTCAAGATCATCGATATCTTTTCAAAACGAATGTCATGTGCAAGTTCAAGTTACCCTGCATCCGAGTAGATTCCTAGCTTAAGACCTTTACTATGAACATAGTCAGCTAGAGCTTTCATTCCAGAAGGAAATGTCGAGTTCTTAGCTGCAAAATTTCCCTAGAATTTGAAGATCAAATTAGCAAGGAAGATAGTTCATAAACACGATTTCCAGTTGAGACAAAAGTACCTGATCATCGCGTTGAGGTTCAGCCCAGCAATCATCTAAAAAGTGTCAAACACATGATATTAGTAACTATATCAGTTTCTGTAACAGCATAATCAAATGCAGATATGGATCGAGCTTATAAGCCGTGGGTGCTAGCTAGTGTACATTCTCATCTATGTATAGAAGATCTAAAAACAAAATCTTAGAAGTTGCGTCTATCATAAGAGATTCACACACGATCACTAAATTTTACATCGATTTTTATCAGAAACTTACCTATATTAACATACTTATATCCGAGCTTATCAAGACCAGTTGAAACCAACGCATCGGCTGTCAATCAAAAGAAACGTTCAATAATATACAGATGAATATGAATTGTGTGATTGTTAAACAAAACAAATACAGTTACCAGTTTCTCTTATGACTTTCTCATCAATGTTGCAGGCAAAATGATTCCAACTACTCCACCTGAAACACAAATTTGCTATTGTTAGTTTAAATTGCCGAAGCCTAAACAGATTAATTGACCGTGCAACAATAACATATTCAGTGTAATTCCACAAGTGCGGTCTGAGGAAGTTAGTGTGTATGCAGACCACTCCTACCTAGTTGTTTCCGATCAGCCTTCAACTCAAGGATAGCAATTTAAAGTACAATAGATATTAACATAAATCAAAGAACTACGAGAATAATACTAATACTACTAGTATGAAATGAGAAACACACACGGTGCTCCAAACTACTTGCATATCAATCTCATACGAAAGTGTCAACGCTCAACTACCTACTAACCATCTATCTTAATCTACGACCTCCACGTTCCCTTATCTAAGGTCATGTCATCGATAATCTACACAAATCAATTAGAGCAAAATCCATCACAATAAAGAACAAAAACAAGACGGATCTAGGATTTTCTCCAAATGAATGCAAATCACCACCACGCCCTCTACTACACGTTCAACTGAATCTAGCATTTTTAGACACGAAACATATAAGTAAACATAAGAAATTAGTAAAATTTCAAAAATAAATCATTTTCAGCGGCAACAAATCCATCAAATTTAAAATTTAATTATTAGATCTGTCTCTAATCAAACCAAAAACATTACATGCCACGTCATCATACAACATAATTAAAAATGAAAATCAAATATTAAAACATAAAAAATAACTAAATAATGAAATTCAGTTATACATAACAAATTTACCCCATAGGAGGAGTCGAACCGAGTCCATTATTGAGCAAACTACGTCGTTTTACAAGTAAATCCTCCTTCCGTTCCGGCCACCGCATTCCCGCCGTCCTCCGGTGGGAGTAACCGCCACACACGGCGGAGATCAGTAGACATAATGCAAGTATTAGCTTAGTACCTACTCTTATCTCCATTGACACACACAAACTGCAAGTTCAGTCCCAGTCACTATAGTTTATTTATAGAATTTGCGTATACTTTACTTTCTTCGAAACTCAGTAAAATTTCATTGTACATGCTGTGCTGTCGAAATTTTAATTTGTGTATGATATTTGTATTATTACAATTGGGTTCTTACAAGTGTTGAGTACCAATTGATAGAGACAATGATGACAAAATTCACGTTCAAAGAAAATATCTTGTCTTTATGCCTAAATGATTGTTCTAGTCATTTAATATGTGTAGCTGGAAATAATAATAATAAATTATTATTAAACGGTGATGTGGCATTATCGGATTGGACCAGTTTGAGCAAAGATGTTACATATTTATACATAAATATAAAGGATAACTTGTAGAAATTTCACTAGTTTGAGAGTTAATTACTTAGATTTACGTTAGTTTGTAATATTAAGAATCTTATCAGATTTTGAATTTCAGACATGTACCTGACACGTTCATGGGATCAAAATTAGATGTAAGTTATTCTAGATACACTATATTCAAGTGAATTAGCATGTATTTGATTCTCTTGCTCGCTTTTCTCCGATCTCATTCACCACTCTCCTATCTCGCTCGGCTCTCTGCTTGTATCTAGTATCTCAGATATATGTATAGGATCTCGCTTGCCTCTCTCCCTACTTTAATGTATCTAGTAGCGAATATACATATATCTAACTTGAAATCTGAAATGAAATTATTAATTAGTGAGACAATAATCTGGTATGCAACAACCATCCAAACAAGTCACAAGACAAATCAAGTGAGTAATATTTTTCTGGCTTAAGTCATTTATACCCACTTAAAGTTGTCCGCATATTTCATTTAGACACCTTATTTTAGGCTTGTTCCAATTGAACACTTTTTTTAGTAAAAAAAAAAGTACCTATTGAATATATTTTGACAATCAACTAAAAGTAAAGATAGTGTGTCATACATTCGCGACTGACGTGACATAGTAGCTAATCAAAAAGAGACATGTGACATTGGGCCCATAAAAAACAGTTAAAAAAAATTAAAAACTAAAATAAACAAAAATTATGTTTTCAGTAAAAAAAAAAATTAAAAAAAAACAACATTTCTTTCCCCTTTTCTTCTTCTTCTTCTTCGCAGAACACCCCATCTAACACCCCCGACGTCTGTTCCACATTTTCTTTACCAAAAGACACAAAATCGAAGCACATTTCGATAGCCATTTCACTTCGGCTTTTTTCCTATTAATTTGAAATTATATGAGTTTTTTTTTTTACCAACCCACCTACCCCTCTCCTTGAATCTGATTCAATATTGAAAATGGTATTTCTCTCAATCTCACTATTTTCTTAAACATTAATTAAGATCTGTTGATACTTATTTTTCTTCTATGTTGTCACGCCCCGAGCTACCTCCGAGACGCGGACACGGGACCTAGGACCACAAGTGATCCCAAGCTAACCCTGCTGGCATGATCATGAGCATACTAGAGATAATAAACTGATGCGGAAGCTAAATCATAAATAAAATGAAAAAAAGATGGGGAATACCCATATACTATAACTGAGATATATGAAAACTGATGAGTTTAATACAAAGAAGTTATTAACTCAATACTAAGTTGAATCTATCTATGTCTAAAATAAGCCTCTAAACTGACTAGAAATGTTGGGACATGCCCCAACTAGATCTAGCAAAACTGAAACTAAAGACTAAAACCGATAAAGATAAACATGTCACTAGTCCTTGAAGAATGAGGACTCACCACTGATGCTGTTGAACTGAAGATCGGGAACCGATCTAGGCGTGATCTGGATACTGAGAACCTGACCTACATCACGAGAAGATGTAGCGCACGTATGTATCAGTACTTGAAAGGTACTGAGCATGCATGATAGAGTAAAGCTGAAATAACATATAACTGAACAAAGCAATAAAGAAATGAAATAATCTGGACATGATATAGATACTGAAAATACTGAATACTGAGCTAACTGATGCAATGACTAAATTTATAACATGTTGAGACTGAATACTGACTGTACTGAAATATGGTCAATGCAAAAGAGTCTGGCTGAACTGTGGGAGCTACTAATAACCGACATAAAACCACATGAGCTAAATGTGGAGTCCGATATATACGCCCTATCGAGAGGACCCAATATACCCTGCCAGAGGTATAGAGGCATGCTGGCGTGATCACTAAACTGATGTTGCCCACAGAGGAGACTTACACCTACGTGGCTCGTAGTTCTGGGACTATATGGGTACGCTGAAACCCTAGTCCAACTCGGTATTATGCTACTCCCAATGAATTAAGTGGTTAACTAGTTATGACTGAATTTCTGTAAATACTGGATAGCTCGAAACTGAACATGCAAACTGAGAATGCAACAATTAATCTGATAATGATGCATTCATAAACTGAGGCATGTAAAACTGAATACTGAAATATCTGACCTAGCATGTGTAATTCAAGAACTAAAGAAATACATAGTTAGGGTTCTGAAATTCATGCGATAAACTGAGCAATATTATGATAATATGATTTGGAACATTTAAATAACTAATTCATGATGATCTGTTGAAATTCTAGAAACCCTAGGTCTGTTCATAATCATGGAATCAAGAATCTGACTGAATTCTAGGGACCTAATGGGCGAAAGGAACCCACTAGTGAAATCCCACATACCTGGTGACGAATTCCACGGAGAAATCCTTTGATTTCGGGACTGGAACTGATGGAACCTTGTTGCGTTCTTGAACTAGGGTTCTTGACCTTTTTCTCCTCTCTTGATTCTAATTTTCTAAGATTTTGATTAATGAATTGACTTGGATAAGTTCTAGTTATGTTTCTAGGCTTAAACTGATTAAAACCTCATGATTTAGGGTTTAAACGACATATCTAACGGGTTAAACGAAATAGGAAAAGACCAAAAGACCCCTGAATTAGCTGCTGTCGGAGTGACTGACGGACGGGACTGACGGTCCGTCAATCAATCGACGGTCCGTCGATTGGGTCCGTAGGTCGAGTCTGTCCGACAGGGCTTCACTAAAATGGGCATAACTTTTTACTCGGAGGTCGTAATTTAGCAAACTCGGTGGCGTTGGAAAGATAATTCAATTATCTATCTAACCATAGGTCATGGGACACATAATTCGTTTTGTGATAAAAGTTATGACCATCTGAAGTTGACCCATCAATATTTTTCATCTAACTAGCTACTAACCTCATCTACGGTCAGACCTACGGACGGTGGATCAAATGACTGTCCGTGCTGGTCGACCGTAGTTTGTGTCAGAGGCTGGTAAGGGAAGTCTCGATCCACGAACACAGACCACAGACCGTGGGTCTGTCCGTGAGTCGGGACTTAGCCAAATTTTCTGACTGAGTTTTGGGGAAGTTTTCTGTCACGAACCACGGACCTGCAGGACAGACCGTGAGTCCATCTACGGTCCGTGGATGGTGTCCGTGAGTGCCATCTGTAACACCAGAAATCTGAAATCTCTATTTTCGGATACGGGGTGTTACATATGTTGTGAGTTCTTTAGGATTAAAATTTTGTAACGATTTTGAAGAAAATAATTTCAGATTCGTCGGAAAAAATGGAGTTCCGTCAAAATTATTTTTGATTCTATTTTTGACGACAATAGATTTGGATATTGGTGGTATCGGTGGTGGGTGGTGAAAGAAAGGGAATAAAACGATGTCTTGAAAAATAAAAGAGGAAGAAGATGACCGGAGAAAAAATGGAAAGTAGAAGTGTGGATATGATGACAACAAATCTGGTAAAAAATAAGATTGCGTGGAGAAGAAGAACGATTGGACCTCAAGAAAGAATGTGAATTAGCTTTAATGTTGGTGATCACTGCGATTGGGATGGCGGAAAGTTGGTAGTAATGGTGGTTGAGTTGAGTCAAAGAAGAAGACATATTAATTTAATTTTTTTTAAATCTTTTTTTTATGTAAAGATGTCTTCCACGCTCCTCTGGTGTGTGTATTACACACATGCTGCCATGTCAACAAAAAATATTTAATAGGTACAAATTTATTGTAGTATAGGTGTTCAATAAGTAAAAGGCTGATTTGGAGTGGCTAAATGAAATCTGAAGACAACTTTAAGGAGCCGTGTATGACTTCAACCTATTTTTCCTCTATAGTTATAATGGCAGATCATTTTTCATCATATCATACAAATAATTAAAATTGTGATGTGACATTACTAAATTAGATTGTTTTTGGGTAAAGGTGTTAAGGGGTCGAGCCAGGCAGACCGGTATGGTTCAAGAAAAATCCAACCCCCTTACCCCAGTTCAGAGGGACCGGCCCTGTGCGGTTTTGGGATCTATTGCACAGGGCCGATCCGGTTTGATTTTTCATTTTTTGGGATTTGATTAGTGTAATCTAGTTGTTATTTGTTAATATGTTACGTATCTAATGAGATTTTTATCGGGTTTATATGTCCTGGTTCACTAGGACCCCAAATGGACTTGTGCGGGTTTGATTTATTATATAACCAAGCCCAACTATGCCCTCTCAATGTGGGCTAGTTCAATTTCGAGTTGGTTCAGCTCATTAGACATTCTTTGTTCTGCGCCATAGATGGGCTAAATTGACTGGGGGGATCCAATTGGCATATTCCCAAACCTAGCTTACTTGGGCTGGGGTTAGAGTTGCGTATCGATTGATTCGGTTCGATTTTGAAATTTATTGAGTATCGATTTGTAGACATGCTAAATTATTATAGAATTATAAAGATATTTATTTAATGGTTATTGATTGTTATCGATTCAGTATAAGTTAAATCATTAAGATTTGATACCAAAAAAAATCATTGAAAATCACTTACAAACAATGTCACACACCAAATAAACTATGCACATCAGAACATATTGTATCTTGCTAACAAACACATACACATTGTAGAATAATTGAAAATTTGAGAGAGAAAAAAATGAAAGTATAAAACTAAGTTCTAAGTCATGGACTCTATATACCAAGTAGTATAAATATAATTATTTAATTTATTATCAAATTATCGATTTATCCGTGAAGAAACA